TGATACTGATAATCATTCCAGCAAATATACATGTGTAGATAGATACTGGTATTCTTCCTACATCGATTTGACTCATGATAGTGACGCATATTGTTCGTTTTCTATCTGTTTTATGTGGATATGGAACTGGTATGGCCGTATATCGTCGTGACAATTATGAACGTAACCACTGGCATATTATCAAGACGACTTTAATGGCTTTAATGGATGAACTCATCGAAGCATTCGAAGAAATTCGACACTTCCAATTTTTAACTTTCTTTTATGAGATGTGTGATGTTTGGCATACATTTGTCCTTCTGATCATTCGTACATTTCTGCCTAGAAGTATTCATCAAACAAAATTTATCTGGTGGATAGCATTCTTCGTAGCTGGTGTGATTACACCGTGGAAACACGGTGCTCGTTATATAGATCATGGTTGCATTCGTAGTTTAAGACATTGTCAACAAGGAGATCATAAGTGTTCTAACAATAAACAAATGACAAAATGAAATTAGGACATGGGTGTAGGTGTTACTCTTTTCTGAACGCAGATTCATACCCATAATTACCATCATCACCAAACGTGTTGTACGTATACTTAAAAGAGCAGATGAAAACCTTGAGAAATAAAAATTTTGTTTTTTAATAAATGATTAAATATTTATCTAAAGTATAAATTTAAATATTTGTGTTGTATTGTTGATTAAACTATTTTTTATTGATAGAAAAAAAAAAAAGATTTTCATTTATTGAAATATACAAATTAATAATTACTTATCAAATTTATTAGAACGATATATGTAAATGAAATATTTAATGAAGAATATTATATATCATTTTTTGTTGTATTATGTTGATATAATATATTTCATCTAGATCAAGATGCAATGAATTTCTTACTAAATAAACTTCTATCATTTGTTCATCATATATAAATGATGAATAACAATCTAAAATTTGAATAATAAAACTATATTTAAGTGATGATGATGTACAAATTTCATGTAATGTACGAGAATAAATAGTACTGTTTCTTCCCTGTTTATTTGAATAACAAACTAAGGAATATCAAATTATGTTTCAAGAAACCTAATTCTTTTTTTATTTTCCATTATAGACTGAAGTTTTAGTTTCTCTCGATCGAAATGAATCATATTGAATTGCGTGAATATTATATCATTTGCAAGTGTTGTTTTACCTGCTTTTCAACGAAAAATCAAAAGATTAGCATACCATTAACTATTTGGCGAACTAACACATAGGATACACACTGCTATACATAACTTAACCAATGGCAATACAAGTAATTATCAATTGAAGGCGAACATTAAATCTTCACCTATGGATCTTGAAAAAAAAGAAAAAATATCATATTCTTTTTTTCTTGGTTTTCTATGTTGCCTTTGTACTCTTTTGTTTTATTTTTGCTCAAACACATATTCATCGTGAGAATAAAATGCTTATGAACTATCTCAATCTATTTTTTTCTTCTTAGTTTATCAATATGAAGTGACCCGATAGATGACAGGGTAACACCTTCAGATTTTGATATTCGAAGAATAAAATTTTTGACAGTAATTATCTCATCTATTGAAACATTCATAGATTATAATTATGATTATGTCATCCTTCGACCTACCAAAAAATAATTAGCGTTTTATGAACAACCTAAAAAATATATCAATCCAAAATTTATCTCGACATTAAAATTCGATAGAAAATTTTGTAATCCAAAGTCTTATAGAGATTAAATTGTTCCTAATTAGTTTACATAAGCTAAATGAAGAGTAATATTGTGCATCGTTCTTATTAACAACGAATCACTCGTTGTTGTTGTTGTTGTTGTTGTTTTTTATAGTCATTGTGGCAACATAGATCAATTATTCATCAGAAATCTTTCGAAGGTTGTGTCTTAGGTTTATTCGAAAATTGATTTTCGAATATTAATTTTTTCAAACCATTCGTATAGTTTATTTTGTCGTTTTCATTTATGTAACAATTGATATTTTATGTTTATTAAATGTCGAAAAATTATTTTCTTTTTTTTTCTTTTTAAGTTTATTCTTCATCTCTTTTCCTTTTTCCCAATCTATCATCATCATCATCATTTTTCGATACAATAATCGAAGTCGATTCTATTCGACTATCTGCTAAAAGTTTTTGTAATGCTAATTGTTTATCTTCATCAATATCCATTAATTGTTGTTGTTGTTGTTGTTGATTATTTGTTTTCTTTTTCTTTTTTTTAAATATTTGAGATGTTATTTTATTTTGATTGATTGATTGTGAATTCATAAAAAGTAATTGTTCAATACAATAATTAATTAAATATTTTTTACATTGTCGAATAGTTCCACCGACATGAAGTGTTTGTATTGAACATTCAATTTGATCAATTACTAATTTTGAAATAAATGTTGCTGCTGTTTGTAACATATGTTTATCATCACGAAGACATCTGACAATAGCAATATTTGTTGATGAATTATAATAAATAATTGAAAGATTTCGTGTAAAACGAGCAATACCAACATCTCCATATAATCGAGAAATAATCATTTCAAATGTTGTATGAATATGTGATGATTTAATTAAAATTGTTGGATTAGAATTGAAATGAAATTGAAAAACAAAATAACGACGTTTAACACGAACCATTTTAATATTCAATCTAAAATTTTAAACTAATCATTTTTATGTTCTAATCGTTCATAATCTTTTTTTATTTTATTTATTCTTTCCATTTCTTTTTGAGGATTTATATAATAAGGTCGTTTTATTGGTTTTCTAAGAATACCAGTTTCACGATAATATGTTCGTTCGTCTAAATACAATTGTTTACATTCTTCACGAAAATTTTCATCATGAAACCTACAATTAAAAATAATCAAAAATGAGATTTTTTTTTTTTTTTTTGAAAATTCTTTGTTTTTAAATTACCATTTAGCAAGACAACCATTCATTGCTTTTACTTCTTTACGACATTTAAAAACAGCCCATACACCGTGTTTTTCACCACATTGACCAAATTCTAAATCAAATATTAAATTTAAAAAAAATTTTCTCTTATTTGATTTCTCTCACCATCAACTAAATGATGACATTTTTCTCGATGAGCTCGATCTCGCATAATTCCTGGTATAGAAACTTCTAATTCAACTTTACGTAAACTTTTATCATTTGGATCACCTAGATAAGAATAAATTTTTTTTTTTTTATTCAAAAAATGAAACAAATAATTCTTCTTCATAAAATATCTAACCTACACCATGAGGACCACCTCTATATCGACTAGCAGATACATGATCAGATGAAAATATTTCTGCTTCATGTTCTGTTTTATTATGATTCATATCTAAAATAACTGACATGTTTTTTTTTCTCTTCTTAGAACAAAATTTTTTTTTTTTTTTATTATTTTATTATTTATTTTTCAGACAAATAACATATACACATAATATTATCACTTTTAGAGTTCTTCATGTTGTGATAAATATTGACGAAGACGAGTTAACATTTCTTTTTTAATTGTATCAGGTACAAGAGCTAAAACAAAAAAAGAATACACAAATTCAATTAAATGAAAATTTTAAGAAAATAAAATATATTTACCTCGACCTTTTGGCGTAATTTCTTGTACAAGTTCATCAACTGTAATATTTTCAAGACCTTTTTGTTTAACAATTTCTAAAAAACAAAAATCGATTTTTAGTTAATGTACTCTACAAATAGATTGAACATTTCTCTTTCAATCTACACTTGAATGAGCTTACTCCGAACTTCCTTCGATTCACTATTTGATTTTTACGAAAGGCTCTAATTTCCAGTAATTGCCCAAATTTCACTATTTTATGAAAAAATCAAAGAAATGCTTTGTGCATTTTTGTACCAGGAGTCGATCACTGCAAATCTGATGAAAAAAAAAAGGAAACAGTCTTATCCATTAAAATGTTTAGAGATGAACTACAAATAATTTTTTTCTCCTGACAATACGCTTTACAAACTTGTTTTGCATTTTACTCAAAATCGAGTTTTCACACAGAATGCACCATCCTGATACATTACGATCCTCCTTTAACGTTGTCTGATCGGGCTGAAAATTTTACCACTAATACTTTAAAGTATTCTCCAGAGGTAAAATCAAGCGTTTTCATTTTTGATGTTTCTACTTGGAGTTACAGGATCACGAAAGACAAGACCCAAGGCACAAACTCAAATCTTGGCGTATTTCTCTTATAAAAAAGAAGAAAGTAGGATTTTTGGAAATCCTTAAATTTACCTCTGAGGAATAGTGTTAGGCATGTATAAACAAAATTTCAGCCCAATCGGACAAACTTTAAGGTGGATCGTAATCTATCAGGATGCGGACCTCTGGAAAACCCTACAAACATTTATTTAAAATTTTTTTTCCTCGAACACGTATCTCTTTATCTTTAGTGCTCTATCTGTGCTAAAAATTTCAGTTTTATCGGTTGTATCGCCTTCGAGATCCAGCAAGTGTCGAAAAAGAGGTAGTACCCTGAAGATCAATACTTTCTTTTTTCCTCAAAAAAGAAATAGTAGACTTCATTCATTGTGAAATATTTTGAATATTGATTAAATTCATATTTTCTAGGTATGAGAGAGGAACGAGTTTGCTTCTATAATGGTTTATCGTCATTTGCATATTTCAAATGCTTGACATATTGCATATGTTTATTGAATTAGTATGAATAATATTTATAAATACCTTTACAATAAGCTTTCATTTGATCTCTCCATCCATATTCCATCAATCGTTGTCTTAAAAGTTGTTTCATTCTATTTATTGAAAAATTAGAAAACAAAATTAAAATTAAAAAAAAAAAAAAATTTAATCTTACTGTTCTCTTTCACCACTTTCAATTAATTTTGCATTTAATGAAGCTCGAATTTGTGCATTTCGATCAGCCATTTTTTGAATAAAATAATCTATAAAAAAAGAAAACAAAAGAAGAAGAAAGAACTAAACTCATATTGATATTGGTATTGATAGAAAATGTTGATGATATTCTATTTTAAAGGGAAACAAATCGATAAATACAATATCAATGGAGGAAGCAAAAAAAAAAGAAAGAAGTCTCTTTAATTCTACAATTGGATTAATAGAATGGTAAACGTGTCCAACTTTGATAACGAAGAAAGAATGGTTTTATATCCCAATTATTTGTTGTCCAATAATATCGAGGATCCTAAAATGAAAATTTTAATTTCGATTGAAAAATTTATTTAAAAATTCTAAATATTTACATATTTCATAAGACCTTGTTGACTTTTCTGTGCATTTGGTTCTGTCCACCATTCGGAAAGATGAAGAAGACGATTAGAATTAAACATTCGTGTCCAAAAATGTTCATCTTGAAGTCTAATAAAAATTTTAAAAAAATTCTAACAATCAAAATAAAACTAAAAAAACATACAATGCACGAAATCGTTCTAATTCAACATCAACTGTTATACGCCAATCTGGAAATTTATTTGTATCATCAAAATTAAGTTGTTCAATATCAAAAACAATCTTAATAGAAGAAAAAAGGAAAATTTTAAAAATTAAATAATACAAATAAATAAATATTACATCATCCAATGTTTTTATTTCATTTTCATTGTATTGAAGAATATGACAATATGTACTGTAAAAACAAAATTTTATTTTTTTTTGTTTCTTTTTTTTCAAATAGGAAAAGAACAAACCTCATTCTTGGTAACCATTCTTCCTTGTACATTCGATCCATTGTTTGAAGCAATTCTAACGAATATACTTTACTTTGTTTTTGATAGTCCTTTAAAACAAAAAAAGAGAAGAAAACTGTTTAATTTTGTAATAAAAAGAAATATTAATCCCTGTTGCAAAAGTCTTGAGACAAAATATTTATTCAATTTTCAGTCACTTAGAAGTAACCTGAGAAAATAAAAAGTAGTCAGTTAGAATCAGCATTTGAAGCTCTGTCTAACTGTGTGTTCAAAATTATCTTCTTGACTTGAAATTGATTTATAGAGAGTCAATCTTTGATGGAGACTAAAAATGACGTTTGTACAAAATATTAGTTTCAAAGGTCTTGGTAAATATATTTGCTGGCTTTTCGAACATTGAAGTCTGATTGAAGGGGGCCGAAAGTAATCAATTAGAAGTAGAATTTGATGCTCTTCCAAATCTATCTTTTAAATTTTGTTCTGACTTATGAGCAGTTAAGTATAAATGACTGCATGAATAAATTAGGTGTTATTTGCGTCACAAAAATTCGCATTTTTCCTCCTTTTCGTCAATTCTCTCAAGGATATTTTCCGGTAGTTTTCGCTCTATATTGTTGTAGAGAATTTCATGTCCTACAAAACCATGGCTTGCAATCAGCTAGAACTGAAAAGAATCAAAAGTTAGAGAATTTTTCGAAATGCTACTCTTCACATGAGACACTTTTCACAATAATCGTTTTTTGGCAATTTTCCATAATTAAAATGTAACAGATTCTGATAGTTTGTAATGATAAGTAGAGAGTAAAGCAAACTATTCATTTTGTAGAGCAAGCTTCGCTCTACGAACTCCTATAGAAAAAACACATTCCTATGATTTGAATTGGAATAGTTTCAATGAAAATACAAGAATGAACTACATGAAATATCTGTACAAACGTCATTTTTGGTCTTCATCAAAGATTGACTCTCTATAAATCAATTTCAAGTCAAGAAGATAATTTTGAACACACAGTTAGACAGAACTTCAAATGGTGATTCTAACTGACTACTTTTTATTTTCTCAGGTTACTTTTAAGTAACTGAAAACTGAATAAACATTTTGTCTCAAGACTTTTGCAACAGGGGTTAATATTTGATATTACTTTTCCATTTTTTTGTAAATCTTCCCAAATAGCTTGAGGATCTTTATCAATGAAGATAATAAGACGAGGCATTTTAAAATTATAATCAATTGAAACTTTATATTCCAATAAAAAGTCATAACCTTTTCAAAAAATAATAAAAAATATTATCAAATATAATATTGTTCATATTAATAACTTTTCAATTTACCTTTTAAAAATTGATATAACTTAAACTTTTATTAATATCTATGAGATTCATTTTATAGAAGAATCGTTTTTATGTTTATAAGAGAACAGTCACATCGTGAAATGAAAATTGACTATTAATCGATCGATTTTTTTTTCTTTTTATAAAATACTTTCAATTGTTTGTTTTCTTAACAAACATCTCGACAAAGATTTTTATTTCTTTTCTTTTCTTTCTCTTTAATAACGGTTGTCAAAGCAAATTTTTAGTATTTAATGAAGTTGAAAAATGTTAGGAAGAAAAAAAAAAAAAAGAAAAGAAAAGGTTTCTTGTAACTAAATGAGTCCGTTTAATTTTCTCTCTTATGAATAACATCAAAAACTTTTTGTCATAACTACAAATACAAAATGATATTGATTATTTCAGCTAACATTCGTTTTTATTGTTTTACATAGAAGATTTCATCCTTTTGTATCAGGAAAATTTATATGCGATAGGTAGCTATCAAAGGTTAAAATAGGACATTAAACATGATTGAGATATACATAGACTCTGCTTTTCGAGTCTGTCATAGATGAGACAGACCTTTTGTTTGTGATCGCTTTTCTGTATTTTTTTTTAATGAAAAAGATTATTTTTTCTGAGTATAAAACCTACGTATCAAAATATGGAATGGGATACCATTGTCATTAGAATGTTAGAAATGTTTTTTTTAATCAATTTAACTACAAACAATCATAACTAATGCCCATGTCAAAAAAAAAAGGGTGGGTAGGTAAGTTTTTGAATAACTTTTGATAGAAACAAAACAGAGCACTGTGGTTTTCACTGTAGGAAAGAGGAGATGTAGTCGCATCGAACCATATATTACAGCATCTTCTAAGATATTTTGTGAAGTTTTTTAATCAAATTTACAAAAAAAAGTGTCGAAAAAATAATTCCTTTTAACATAAGAAAAAAAAATAGTAAAAATGGTTTCTTTTTCACAGCAATAGTTTGGAAGATCGCCTGAGAATCAGGCTTGGAACCGGTTGAGAAATGGTAAACCGGTTAAAAAACGGTGGAAAAATGCCGAATTTTTTTTGAAAACCGATTTTAAGAAAAAATGGCTCCAAATATGAAATAGTTTAGGGTGCATGTAAAAGACACTCATCATAATGAATCTTTTTAAAGAGAACCTCAGAAAAAATGATTAATATAATATATGTTTTGAGCACTTTTTTACACATTCTAACAGAAAAAACATGTGACACCTTAGTTTTTATGGTCAAAAACAGGGTTAACAAAGAAGATTTTTGAAAACTTTCAACCGGTGAAATTCCGATTTCTACCGGCCCGGTGCCGGTTCCAACGCTGTCGAGAATACCTATGGCTCCTGAATAATTAAATCTAAAAATCTGAGGTTTGTGTATTTTTGTAGATCTTCCATTGGTGATTCAGATACACAACTCATTATTCAAAAAGAAGTCGATTGAAAATCTATAAAAAAAAAACAGGTCGAAAACTTGTAATATACGATTCGATGCATCTTCATTTCCTCTTGCTAAAGGTGAAAATCGCAGTTATCTAGCTTGTTTCTATCAAAAGTTATTAAAAAAAATATCTACCCGCCTTTTGTTTGTTTTTTTGAAATAGGCTTTAGTATTAGATTGTGAGTATATTTATCATTGCTCGTTTATTTATTTTATTTGTTGCATTACTAAATCAATAAATATTTTTCTATAGTCATGTGATTCCAGTATATATGACTTTCTTACATTTTTATAAAGATAACTTTCTTCTTTCATTCAATTTTATTATAATATTAGTAAAGCCCTCGATACATTAGAAGACTCCGGGTCTTCTATTATGTCATGAAAAAAAATTCATATTTTTTTTGTTATTCTCAACGACACTGATGAACTGAAGAAATTTGTAGCTTATCATGAGTCGACCAGGTATACAAAAAACAGACTTATTTGAATCTATGTTGGGTATATGACGTCAGATATTTTTGACGGATACCTATGTCATAGTAACTTTTATATTCAAATAAAATTGAAAAATTTGTCTAAATATGTCAGGTAGACTTTGTTCAATCTTGAATATATTGAAGTTACTAAGATTAACTACGTACAATAGATAAAAACTTCTAAAATTAGTTCAATTCAAAAGAGAAATGGTTTTCTTCATTCATAGTTCAATATAAGTCTCTTTCCAGTAGATTAATCAAAGTTAAGATAACTAATATCTAATATTGTCGACATTAAATTATATCATATACTCATTATGATATTTGTAACTATCTCAAATTTCAATCGATAATAATTATTTCTCAAAATTAATTAGAAAAAAAAAACTTTCGATAAATAATTTTCATGAATAAATTATGTACAAATAATCACAATCTATAACTTTAAATATTATAACTTATTCAATAGTTAAAATTTTCAATTGAACGTAAAGAGATCCATAATACACAAAAAAAAACACTGAGCCTTCGCGTACTTATATCTTGTATTTGAGAATGAAACGAATACCAATATACTTGTGATTTTTTCAACAATACTAAATATTTAACTCAAATCCAAATAGTGTTTCGAACAGTCAATGAAGTTCTCTATCAAATGCATTTCATATTGAATTTTTATACATGGCCTACGAGATAAAGATTTCTCAAAAAGAAAACACGGTAGTTTTTAAATCTCATAAAACTTTGTGAATATTATTGTTTTGGCACATAGATAGGGATGCACCAGTCCCAGTCCTGACTGGGTACTGAGTCCTTTGATCTTTAGTCCATTAGTCGAATAGTACTTTCTTCTTTTTTAGTATATTGTCATACAGTGATTCTTAGGCTGTTGAAGTACTGATATAAACTATAACACTGAATTCATTGGCTAATCATATATATCTATATATCAATCGTTATAATTTAGAATACTATAAATAAATTTCATGTCTTCAGGGTGTGGGTGTTGTTTGGATGTGGGAATGGTTAGAATGACAATAACGACACCCATACCAACATCAAACCCACACCCTTAGAAAAGACGGAAGTACTGATTGATTAGCGGAATAAACGTCAAATGACTAAGTACCCAGTTGTGACTGAGTATCCAGTCGGACTGGGACCCAGTTACTGACACTGGTGCACCCCTACTGACTTATGTGACACTGAGTGTCACATAAGTTCTGCACGTTTGGATCAGTAGAATTATATCGTCAATATAAAACTATATTTTAAAGCAAGTAATTATATATTCTGATAGTGTTCGGAATTCTCTATCACCCTGTCTATTTAAGTCTTGACTTACATTTATTAGGTAAAAAATATTTTTGAGTATAGTGAAGACACCCTCACCTGCATTGACAATGCTCGAAATATTTCTCAGCAAATAAATTTAAGTCAAGACTTGAATATACAGAGCGATAGAGTATTTCAAGAGCTCTCAGAATATATAATTAGTTTTCTTAAAAATACGGATTACTGTATAGATAAAGATTTTTAAAACGCATGAGAAACAAACCAAAAATGGAGTTCGTGAGAATATCTTCACTGTATTCAAAATATTTTTGACCAAATAAATGTAAGTCAAGACTTAAATAGACAGGGTGATAGAGAATTCCGAGCACTATCAGAATATATAATTACTTGTCTTAAAATATGGTTTTTGTATTCGCGATATAATTCTACTGATTCAAACATACAGAACTTATTCTTTTCTTTAACAATTTTTCACGAATTTCAACATGTAATTTTCAAATATTTCACTCAAATAATACATAATTACAAATGCTTAATAAAGATTGATAATGAGAGACAAAAAAGATCATCTATTGTAAAAAAACAAAATTTTACCATCTTGACTAATAAGACCAAAATCACGAAGAATATTGAGAATAGGATAATAACTCCAATAGGAACGATCCATAACAATTCCTTGTCCTATGATAAAAATAAAAATAAATTTCTTATTTAATATAATAAGAATTTTCAACCTGTTGAAAACATATGTGATAAACCCATTCTTAATTGATAAGTCATTGTTTGTAAAAGAGGTCTTAATAAACGTACAGATGCATGATGATTTGGATTTAAATGCCATTCTTCAGGTGATGGCATATAATCTCTTGGTAAACAATAATCATTATGAAATTGTCGTGTATTAATTGTTCCTGTTTCATCAACAAAATGCATTCGATCAACATCCGGTTTTGATATAGGTAAAAATCCAATATGATTAGCTAAACGTTTAACAAAATCCGAACGACGAACACCAAAATTTGATTCAACATGAAAAAATAATGTATTATCATGAATATTTGCTAATGTATAATGACCACCTAAATAATAATGACGAAAAAAATCTACAAAAAAAAGAAAAATTGATAATTTTTTGAAAAAAAAAAATTTTATATAATTAAATTACTATAATTCTTGTTAACATAATCAAATGGATGAGCCGGCTTTTCTGTATCTTTATATTGCATAGAAAATGTTCGATGATTTTGAGGAATTAAACATGTTGATACAATCAGCAATCGATGATGTTGATTTGCAAGAAAAACTCGACGAAGCGAAGCAGCAACGCCGCTGCTCATTCTTTTATTTAATTTATCTTAAATATTAAAATGATAGATCATAATTAGACAATAATAATAATAAAAAAAAACAATCATTCTTGTTTGAATCTATATATTGTTTATTCATTCGTTTATTTCAATGTTGTCGTCAACCATTGGTTGTATATTTAACCATTAAGATTTTTTTCTTTCATAAGCATCCATTGGAAGTCTCCGCTTTTTACTATTTCTTCTTTCATAGCTTTTTTACCTATGATATTGACTCATAAATTGCTTCTTACTAAATTCAATGAATATATTCCCCAAAAAAAGATGAATTATTCATATTCCAGAACATTCTTCTTTTCATTTGATTGCAAGAGACTTTTTCTAATTTGACAATATTAGATAAATATTCAACTCATTTTTAATCCACCGGTGTAATAAGAAAAAAACAAAGAAACGCAATTCATATAGATATAATGGCAACTGCTGTTCCTGATTATTACTGTCACAAATGTCGACTACATATCGGGCATGTTACAGTAAGATTTATGAAAAATGAAACCTACTTGATTATTATAAGATTTCTTTTCTTTTTTTATTTAGAATTTCGAATGCCCACGTTGTAGAGATACTTTCATTGAAGAAATTCCTCCACAACATTCATCATCGTATGTATTTTTCTTTTAGAATTTTTTTTGAAAATAAATTTTCAATGAAATTTTTAGTCATTTACGAAGTAATCAACCACGTAATCGTAGTAGAATTCATTTTCATGGCTCAACACCATTTGGTACTACAACTATAGTTATTGGTGGTGGTGGTGGTAGTAGTAGTCATTCATCAAATAATGAAAATCGTGAAATTGATAATCCAGATATAGGAACATTTTTTCAAACAGTTCTTGCACAACTTGTTGGTGGTTCACAAGTTCCACTGTAATTATATTAGTTATGTTCAAGGCTCTCGGAAGAGTGGAAGGGGGAGGGGGCTGACACTTTTCATAAAATTTTACAGGCAGTCTGTTAACGAAAGCTTTTTAGGAATAGCTGCCGAAGATTTCCTAGTTTTTCATAAAAACTGATGACTCAGGGAGTGGGGGTAGCTTTGGAAAGATCCTCCTTCAGAGATGAGCCAAATCTCGAAAAAAGTTCCATACACAAAAACAAAACAGGGGCCAAGGGGGAGGAGATAGCTTGCGAAGATCCCCCGAACAGCGTCTATTTAAAAATTTGCCGGACAGTAAAACAGATCTTCAATTTATGCGGGGAGACAACTCCCCCTTCCCACATCGAGAGCCCTGGTTATGTTTAGAAGTAAATGTAAACGAAAAAATCATTTTTTTTTAGTGCTATGCAACATGGTGGAGGAAGTGGTTTGAATACACTTACTCTTGATGCATTACTTACTCAAGTAAAATATTATTTATTTATCTATCTGTTTGTTTTATTTATTCTTTCATTTAGTTTTTAAATCAAATGGGAGAAAATAATGGTCCAGCACCAGCATCTGAAAGTCGTATAAATTCTATTCCAACAGTGAAAATAACATCTGCACAAGCACGTATGTTATTTTGTATTGTTTAAAAAAAAGAAAAGCAAAATATTTTGAATATTTTTCCTTTTTTAATTTATATTTAGGTGATAGTCTACAGTGTGCTATTTGTATGGAAGAATTTAAAAAAAATGATGAAGCAAAACGTCTTCCTTGTGCACATCATTTTCATGAAGAATGTATATTACGATGGCTTAGAATGGTAAAATAAAAATAATTATTTTATTTATATAAAAAAAAAACTAATTTGTTTATTTTAGCATGGAACATGTCCAACATGTCGTATTACATTAGATGGTGATGATACAAGTAATCAAGAATATAATCATTTTTATTCAAATCAACAATCATCATCATCATCATCATCATCATCAAGGAATAATAATCGTCGAAATAATGGAGGTAATCATGGACCTCATTCAACTTCGGGATCACGGTTGTTCGATTTCGATTAAATTAATATATTTATATATATATATGTATGTGATTTATTATGTAAAAAACAAAACTAAATTATCTTTTCTTCTTTTTTCTTCTGATGATATTTACCTTTGTTTGCTTTTTTTCTCTTTGGTCATTGCATCGATTTTTTTTCTTTGGTGAAAATAAATGAACTCATAATATGAAATTAGACAGAATAATTACATAAAATTAGTTAATCATCAAATGTTTCTTTTTTGTTTTTCGTATATATTCGATGTATCGTTTTGAATTATTAAATATTTAATTTGAGAAAAAGAAAAATGATTGTATAAAGATAATTGAATGAAAATCATCTCGGTATTTATAGGTCAATAGATTTTATAATTGTACAAGTGAAGAAATAAAATTAAAACTTTTGATCGTTTATTGATTCGATGAAAATATTCTCATTCAAAAGAATATTTTTCTACTTGTTTTATTCAATCTTATGAATCGATTAGGCTAGTTTTAGTCTTCGAGACGATGGATTTTATTCTGGAATTTAATAAGAAATGCATAAATTTTAATACGATATATTGATTTATATTTTTGCTTATTTGAAAGAAGAAATCATTCTAGCGAATGATTGGGTTTCTTTTGGTTTACATAAAAACAGAAACTTTGCAACTAATCAAAAAAAGATTTCTTTACTTTGTAATAATTCGTCTAAAATAATCAAAATTCTATTAGACAATGAAATTGCTTTTTTTTAGTAAATAATCAGTAATTAGTTTTTAAAGATGTTTTACTGATATTCATTGATTCTATTCTGCTTATACAAATAAAAACTTGTATCGATCGAATATCTTGTATCTGCCAAATATGAATGTATCAAATCCTGTCCAACTCTTTATGTCAAGTATAACTAGTTTAGTCCGTTATTAGTATTGGCGAGGAAACGTTTTCAACTGTCAAATCATTTTTGAGTTCGAACTCGATGGGTTAGATAGACTCCAGTGAGATATGAAAAACCCTAAAAGATTGAGTCTCCTTAGACCTTCTCTCCAAAGTTATAGGCATTTTACTGGAGTTTTAACCTGTAACATGGTATATATCAAAAAATTGAATGAGGATATTTTGAGTTGAGATTTTGCCCACAGACAGGCCTATTTATTATTAGTAGGAAATCCGGAAAATTTCAGCTCAAAAGGACATTTCATTCCAGAGGTATTAAAGCCCTGAAAAGCAGAAAATTTTAGCATCTTTTGTGGAATATGAATTTTATTTGAGGCTTTCATATCTCTGGAAGAAAACATGCTTTTGATCTGAAATTTTCAGGACTTTTTACTAATAAGTAGGCCTATCTGCAGGCAAAATCTCAGCTCGAAATATCGTCATTCAATTTTTTGCTATATACCATGTTATAGGTTAAAATTCCAAAAAAATGTCTATAACTTTGGAGAGAAGGTCTAAGGAGACTCAATCTTTTAGGGTTTTTCATATCTCACTGGGGTCTACCTGACCCACCGAGTTCGAACTCAAAAACGATTTGACAGTTGAAAACGTTTCCTCGTAAGTTTTATCAAATTTTTTAAAAAAGTACCAATATTTCGTAGGACTTTGATGGATGAAAGAACACTCCTGTCTTTCATCTGCCAAGAAATCCCATAGCCCAATATTTTCCCTATAACTATAATTAGCTGTAGCTTTGGACAGAAAACCAACCTGACGCAGAGTTCTTGTGCTCCACATACAAGCTAACTTACAACAAGAGCAGATGTATGTCACAACATAGTCATGATCCTATCGGATCGATCATTTCATGGCTGATAGTACTCAGGTTTGCACGCAGTACCTTGTGGATACATGTCATACAACGTAGTCACTCAGCCATTGCGGCTAGGACTTTGGTAAAAATTTTCACTAAATCTTATCAAATTTTGATAAGTCTTTTAAAAATTTGACAAAATCTAGTAGCAGTACAGAATAAAGCTGATTATACTTGACACAAATATTTAGGTGATACTCACATACAAAAATTTTCAATCTTGATAGCAGATAGATAGGATTTAATACATTCATAATGTTAAATGAGTTTCGAGAGGTTTTTATCTTTTATCGAAAATTGAAAAAATTTCTTATTGTCCTACGGTAGGAGCAATAATCTCCTTGTTGTTTTATTGTTGTTTTTTTTTTCTTTAATTAACAGATGATGGTAAACAAAAACAAACAACAATCATTATATAAACTGTTGCTTATGAAATAATTTTCTTCTTTTTTATTTTTTATTTTTTACTGTTTAGACGAGCACCTCAGGAAATTCAAAGTGAACATCTTTGCCGGTAAGTTTCTTGTAAACTTGTTGAAAAGCTGGTACCTAGAAAAAACAAAAGAAAATATATTTCTATTAATAATCAATTGTAAAAACAAACCTTAGTTTCAACAAGTGTTTGTTGATTTTTATCAAGGTGAACCTTGAATAAACGAGATCCATCTAATTTAATTCGAATACGTTTTCCTGTTATTTCAGCTGGATAGACAAGATCGTGTAAAATAGCATCATGAACTGCAGTTAATGTTCGACTAAAAAGATAAATTAATTTAATAGAAAAAAAAATAATAATAATAATAAAGAAACATACTTTCTTGGACGTTTTTGTTTCGATTGTGTTTTCGATTTACGTGTTGGTTTTGGTAAAATTCGACGCTAGAATAATAATGAAAATAAAAATAAAATAAAAACATAAAAATATAAAAATATAAACCTGTCCAAGAAGAACTACAGTTTGATTATATTTCTTTTCGAGTTCTTGAACAAGTAAAGAATGAACTCGTTGAAAAGCCTTTACTTTTGGCACTGGAATATAAATGACAAGGGCTGATCGTCCATCACCCAATTCAATTTTCTATTTAGAAAAATATTCATTTATTTTAATTAAAATAAAATTATCTTTACAAACCTTTGCTCCAGTAATATAAAGTTCTCGTAATTGACCTTTAAATTGTGCATTACCTTCGAGTTCAGTAAATTGCTAAATAATAAAAAAAATTCATACAAATCAATAAAAATGAATTTTTGTTTTTCTACTTGTGAAACATCAAGTTCGAGAGGTGTTGGTGGTTCACTACCACTTTTCATGATCTTAGTACCGGTATTCATTGTTGACAATAAAATTTTAGTCAAACAATCTAAAATAATTAAAGTTTTTTTTTTATTTGTTTGTAACTCTCTATCAACTAAATATAAGAAATGAATTAAAAAAACAACAAATGGATCCTCCATTATATTCCAGATTTTATCATATTAGATCAAATAATCATCTACAAGTTTTCTTTTTTTATTTTTTTTTTAAAAAACATTTTTATTAATAAAAAAAAAAGAAATTAATATGGAAAAAAAAATATTTTTTTTTTTTAATAAAAATAAAACTTTTTCAATGGATAATTAAAATAAACCAATAGGATATATTTATTTATTATTCAATAAGAACCACAGCTGATTAGAAAAAAAAATAATCTTTTTATATGGATCAAAACAACGGAAAACAACTTTCACCATGGAAAGCTCCATCACGTATATCATTAAAACGTATTCGTCATAAAATAAATTCAGATTTATCAGTTCAAACACTTTCATCATCATCATCAACAATAATTGAAAAAAATTCTCAAAAACAAAATGGAAAACGAAATCGTCTTGTTATTAATAAATTTGCATTAGCACGTTCAATATCAACACCAACAAGTGATGAAAATCTTACACCAACAATATTAGAAAAATCTAATAATGATGAACATTTACTTGCACGACTTCATCAAATAATGCCACCACCACCACCATCATCATCAACGAATGACAAATATTTTAAAAGTTTTTCATTTGAAGAAACATTTTATAATTCGGAACCAAGTAAAAAACAAACAAAAAAAAATAAATTTTTTAAATAAAATTTTTTACAATTTAGATAAAATATCTGATGAAATTGTTTCTTCATTTCCAATTGATTGGTCATTAAAATCATCATGTCGTTTTTATTCTCTTAATTCATCATCATTTTTAAATAATTTTATGAAACTTCGTTCTACAGATGAATCTCTTGCATTAGAATATATTTGTTCAAATACATTACAAGATAATGAAAAAGCTCTTTTTCGTTCTCTTACATCATATTGGACATATCCACATATAACTTGGCTTAAATTATTTCCACGTTTACAACAACAAATAAATATTAATTTTTCATCATTAGATGAACAAGCACAAATTGCTTTACAAGATGAATGGAAAATTGCATTTCAATCACTTTTTCAATCATTTAGAACAAAATATTCATCTTTTTTTTATATGTGTACACATACATTTAATATTTTATTTCGAGAAGATTCTTTATCACAAATTATTGCAATTATTAGTCCAACAACAAGTGGTTTAAGATCAACACTTGAACGAGAAGGAATTGAATTTACAATGGCTGAGTAAGTTAAATATATAACAACATAAGAAAAAAATCAATGAATAATAACATTGTCAGTTTAGATTATTTATCTACATACAACATTTAAAATAGATTATTTCAACACCGATGAAATATTCTTAATGATATTTCGTTGTGTTCATTTCTATCAGTCTGACTAGGTGTGCACCAGTGCCAGTGACTGGATCCCAGTCAGACTGAATACTTAGTTATTTGATGTTTATTAAAAATGAATCCGGTTTTTTTCCATTTTTCATTTCAGTATCGATCTTACAGGAAACATTTTTCTAAAACAAGCTATTATAGAAATCCATTTATCTAGAAAGATTATCTATAGCAAAGAAAATAATTCAACAGATGATAATAAACGAAAACTATACCTGAATAGATAGTTCGCAAAAGTTTAATGATGACATATGAAATTTATTTATAGTATTCTGAATTATAACGATTGATACATAGAAATATATGATTAGCCAATGGATTCAATGTTATAGCTTGCATCAGTACTTCAACAGTCTAAGAACCACTGTATGACAATATACTAGGAAAGAAGAAAGTACTACTCGACTAATGAA